TGTCTGTTTGTATCCAATAAACGTCAAAACGGCTGAACCGATCGGGCCCATTTTTTTTGTGGGACATCACGTGACCACAGGGAAGGTTTATGAATGATCAAAATTTCAAATATTTGTCTCCATCAAAATTCGATCTTCATTAAATTTTTGAAAATTTTGAAAATCCACGAAATTTTTTGAGAAAATCCGCGAATTATTTTTATTTTGTTTTACGATGTACACAAAGAGAACATGTTCACAATTAATTTAAAAGATGGGCGCGAAGCGCCCTATAAGGCTAGTAATAGATAAATGTATTAAAGGTGAATTCGGAGAAGAAGATGTTAACGGCCAATGGGTATCTTTTTTCACAGTTAATGCATTATTAATATTTTACATGATTGTCTTTAATTTTTCAACGACTCTAAAGGTACTGCACGTGAGTTAAAGATTGTGATTATTTAAAATTACTTTTATCTTTTACATTCTGTGTGTTATCATATAATTGGCAACCAGTTGTAAAACTATCGTCCAGTACTCACTAATCTGTTCTAAAAAATGTGCTTTTTATAAAATTCTAAAACAGAACGAAGCGTAAAATTATAATTTGATTTTTGTAATTATATTAAATATATTCAACTTAAGTTAAAGAAAAATTACAAATGAAAATTTTTTAATTTAAATTTAATGCTAGAGATGAAGTTTGCCGTTCCTTTCAGTTTTCCTTGAGATTTAACAAGGACGATATCTCCTCGCATAGGTCGTCCTTCTTCTCTAGAATATTTTTAAAATTAACAAAGACGACATCCCCACGCATAGGTCGTCCTTCTTCTCTGGAATATTTTGAAAATTAACAAGGACGACATCTCCCCGCCATCTCCCCGCAAAGGTCGTCCTTCTTTTCTAGAATGTTTTAAGAATTAAAAAGTCTGTTCTCAATCAATTATCCTTTAAAATAAAGTGAAAATACTTTTGAAAATATTGGCAAACTGTTTTGCATTGACCCTCCATTAAAATATCTGGCTAACTCCAATATAATAACTGGATCCCTTCCATATTATACCTGGATCCCTTCGTTAAAAATCTGGTTCCCTCCAATATAATACCAGGATCCCTCCCATGTAATACCTGGATCCTTCGCATATAATACATGAATCTCTCCCATATGATAGTTTGATCCATCCCATTTAAAGCCTGAATCCCCCCCATTTATTACCTGGATCCCTCCCATATATTATCTGTATGATGTATCCTCCCATTTATTACCTGGATCCCTCCCATATAATATCTGGATCCCTCCCATTTATTACCTGGATCCCTCCCATATAATACCTGGATCCCTCCACTAGAATACATTTCTTGACATCTCCATTGGTAGTCACATTTCTCCAATTATACTGAAATATTTTATATTTATAAATCTTTTATGCTATTATTTGTAAGCACTAAACAGACCATGCGTTTTGCCTCTCTTTGCTTTTTTAATGTTACATTTTAATTTCAAGACTGACAATAATCTATATTTGAACGATATACAGGATAAAACTTCTGCTAAGACGACTGTACAGAACTTATTCAGGCATTTGTAGATCATGCATACATGGTTTTCATTGCCAAATCATTTGATGAACCTTTAGCAGATTTTATATTAGGCGTTATTTCAAAATTAGATTTAATTTATTTTATGTCGTCATTGAAGTCTAATCCTTTGTGGGCAGCCCTAAGTGCTTACAGTGGGCCCTATAAAACTATGAAATAGGAAGAAGACTGTTTTGAATATTACAAACACGGAATAACCTATTGTGGAGTCGACACGTACACAGATTCTTTTTATGCAACTGGTAAAACTGTTTGCTTTATAACAACATCAAATACAAATAAGATTTCTTAAATATCGTCTTCCTTTTCCACAATTTTATGGGTCTCACTGTAAACAATTTTATTTTAATACACCTACCACAGTCTTCTCATCATCACCATCATCGTCTCCTTGTTCATCAAGGGAGTATTCAACAACATCCTCCAGAGGACCTTCATGAACCTTTACATCTTCTTCTCCTTTCTTCTCCTCATCCTCCGCTTCTTCCTTCCTCTTCTCCTCATCTTGCTTCTTCCCTTCCTTTTTCTTTCCTTTTCTTTTCTTCTTCTCTTTCCTGTTTGGTTCTGGTATCTACAAATTCAAGTTGAAAATAAACTATTAAGGAACTGTAAGTGTAATTTAAAGGTCCGTGCAACGGTATCTTTATAGAGCTTTGTCTGAATTAGATATCAATGTTTGTAATTTTGAAAACTGATCTTTTTAAAATTGTGGTTTCTCTACAAAAGTGAGGTGTGTAATTTTACTACATGAAAACACAAATAAATTATAAGAATTAACATTTTTATACAATATTTTCCACATTTTAGATCAGATAAAGGTTTCAAGGTTTTGAATAAAGCATGGTCATCTTTACATGCTTGGCCACTTGATGCTTAAGCGTACAGTCCCTTTAAACAATATTTAATTGAACTATTGTGATAAATTATTCTCAATATTTACAGACTATGCACAATGTACCTGTTCCCCCTTATATGTTTTTATAGAATGGAAGGATTTATTTTAGTCAATTCCTAGACCGTGGTCCTTTAATTTTTTGTATAATTATTTCGTGCAAAGTTTCAACCATTAAACAAAGACTTTGTCCAATAGTTAGGTTATTTTACATTCAGAGCTCAGTCAGTTGTAATTATTGTTTTCATCCTATGTAGGTATGGGCAGTTTTGACTCTTTTTTAAACGTTCATTTCATTTTGTTAACGATGAAAAACTATCGTTTTAAAACTGTCATATATGAAAAGGATGAAACTAAGTTATTATAGTTTTTAAGAAGAAATAAAGCAACGATCGTTGCGGAAAACGATTGTTTTCAAAAATGGAAAAACGATATTTTTGGAATAAAAACGGTTGTTTTGGAATGAAACGATAGTTTCAGAATGTTAACGCAATTGGTTTGGATTGATAACGATAATTTCTAAAATTATCGTTTTGGAAAAAAGCGCCAAATATAACATATTAAATGAAATTAAAACCTTATAATGAATTAGGTGAATAAAAGATATCATTTGATTTATAGTTATAACGGAAAATCATCGTTTTCAAAGTGAAAGGCATAGAGTCTATGTGAAATGATCATTGGTCAATTAGGAAACCAGCCTATTTCATAACTTGGTTGGCATAAATATGTGAAGTACATCTGCAGTATGGAAACAGTACAATAAATGGCCGTTTTACACTTTTTTTCTAGTAAATTCCTCTCTAATATATGTTCTATTCTCTTTGTTTTTCAGGGAACTTTTGTAAACCTTAATATCTTCTGGAAGTTCATCACTGAAAAAGCTATCAGGCAGATTCTGAAGACCAGCATTAAGACTGCAAAAAAAATTCAAACTTAGATTTTTTTAAAGCATTATAATTAGTATTTTGATTAGTATGTGGCCCAAAATGACAAGAATTGTAAAAACAATATAATAATGGCTTTTGATTAAAAAAAAATAGAAAATAAGGTGTGTAAACTTCAGTGTCGTTAACCCCGTTTAACCTTAAAATCTAGCTTACTTGATACTCGTTTGACTTTTAAAAAGAAGCTGGGAAATCTCTTCAGAACTCTGTGATGGAAGACGACTAGATGCAACACAATGCGCAGAATTGCTGCGCTCCACTCCATGACGCAGCTTTTCCGCTCTAGACGCTTGAATTCCGCAATCTAAAGGCAAAATTTTCAAACTGAATTTTATATTTTATGCTAAAATTATCACAAACTTTGGAATTTTCATTGAATTTGTAGAATTTCAAGAATTTAAAAAATATAAAACTAAAACTAACCATCTCCTCCGTTCCCTCTTCTCCTATCCTTCCTGTTCTTTTTTTGCTGCTTTCTTGAGTTTGCTGGTGTAGGAGGAGAACTGGAAGCAGCTTTATTGCAAGCTGTTTCTGATGTGATGCATGAAGGAGCTTTATCAGTGGAATTTGCTGGAATGTTAGAGACTGATAAACTTCTTGTAGCAGTACTGAATAAATTCCAGTGTAAATAAAGTCATTTGAACAAAAAGGCAGATACAGGGTGTCCCACGAAACATGACAGTTGGTGAATAGTTTAGAATGTCATCTTCCATAATTTGTTAAGTTGATTTATACCAAGACAATAATAAAAATATTATATGGAGGAAAAGATTTTTTTAAACGAAATGAACTGCAAAAAAACCTTTAATATCCTAATACAGTTTATGAGGTTGACATTCAAAACTATTTATCAACTATCATGTTTCGTGGGACACCCTGTACTACGACTGGTAAAATATCTGAACAGCATCTTTATTGTTAAAATATGTGTATTATAACCTCGCTAGCCCCGAATCAGCTGATGGTTTGGTGATTTTAACTCTAGGTTTTACACCCAACACAGGACTCGGGGGAGTTGACTTCTTTGAAACTTCACCAAGTTTATGCTGAACATCCTGCATATATAATATTGAATAAAGTATATACCCTGATAAAAGAGACATATAGTAAAAATGTCGTATCAAAAAATATGAAAAACACCATACACATCTTTATAATGATGTGCAATAATATAATCTTTTACGGTTCTTAGACTTTTAAAGAGGAAGACTTCGTCATTTGAAGATCGGAGGTAAAAAGGGTGTGGGTTGCCTTCTCCCCTCCCCCGCCCCTCGCATATCAATAACACATACAAACCTTGGTAAGTTGTTTATCAAGACAAAGTTTATCTATTTCTTCCGACACTATAGAGTCCATAATCTGTAATCAGCTAGGTGATAAAATGTTGAGGGATTTTCAACAAAATGATTGTTATTATTGTTACCGTGTCAACAAATTTAAGGGGATGTAAAGGGATAGTCAACGTAATTCATGAATAAATAGGATTGTCAACTTAATTTATGAATGTAAAGGGATAGTCAACGTAATTCATGAAAATAATGGGATAGTCAACTAAATAAATGAATATAAAGGGATTGTCAACTTAAGGTATTAAAATAAAGAAATTGACAACTTAATTTATAAATATAAAGGAATTGGTCAACGTAATTTATGAATATAAAGGGATTTGTAACGTATTTTAAACTTAATTTAAAAATATTAAGGGATTGTCAACGTATTTTTGAAATTTAAAGTGACTGGCATCCTATCTCTGACATTTATTCAAAGAGACTCAAAACTCATCTTATATTCATTTATAGCTGTTCATCTTTATATTTATTTATAGCTGTTCATCTTTATATTTATTTATAGCTGTTCATCTTTATATTCATTTATAGCTGTTCATCTTTATATTTATTTATAGCTGTTCATCTTTATATTTATTTATAGCTGTTCATCTTTATATTAATTTATAGCTGTTCATATTTATATTCATTTATAGCTGTTCATCTTTATATTCATTTATTCATCTATATATTTATTTATAGCTTTTCATATTTATATTCATTTATAGCTGTTCATTTTATATTTATTTATAGCTGTTCATCTTTATATTCATTTATAGCTGTTCATCTTTATATTCATTTATAGCTGTTCATCTTTATATTTATTTATAGCTGTTCATCTTTATATTTATTTATAACTGTTCATCTTTATACTCATTTATAGCTGTTCATCTTTATATTAATTTATAGCTGTTCATCTTTATATTAATTTATAGCTGTTCATCTTTATATTCATTTATAGCTGTTCATCTTTATGTTCATTTATTCATCTATATATTTATTTATAGCTGTTCATATTTATATTCATTTATAGTTGTTCATCTTTATATTCATTTATAGCTATTCATCTTTGTATTTATTTATAGCTGTTCATATTTATATTCATTTATAGCTGATAATCTTTATATTGATTTATAGCTGTTCATCTTTATATTCATTTATAGCTGTTCATCTTTATTTATATTTATAGCTGTTCATCTTTATATTTATTTATATAGCTGTTCATCTTTATATTCATTTATAGTTGTTTATCCTTATATTTATTTATAGCTGTTCATCTTTATATTCATTTATAGCTGTTCATCTTTATTTTTATTTATAGCTGTTTATTGTTTATCTTTCTAAATAAATCACTGCCATTCCCGCATTCACTTTATTTTATGATTTTCACAAGAGGGTTTTAGGTTTATTTATTTGTTTTTAACAAAAAGAAAACCCGAAGATATCTTCGTTTCTTCAATAAAAGCTATTTCTAGTTCATAGAAAGGCCGGTTCACTATATTTTACGTCGTTATATACCCTTTAAATGATATTTGAAAGATTCTGTAAAGTTATAAAACTGGTTTGTAATTAAAGTTTTTTAAAAAGTTTGTGAAAAAGCAGCTAGTAAGTAAGTTTACTTAAAAACAATTTAATATTTGTAAATAAAGTAAAAAATGAGTGTAAATAAAGTAAAAAATGAGTGTAAATAAAGTAAAAAATGAGTTTTGTTGAGAAACGTGTATGATCTTATACCAGTTCTACAGTACAAATAAAGAAAGCGCTGTTAGCTATCTACAGCTATGAATCTTGGACCTCTGCAATTATACATATATATATATATATATACATATATATATATAGCATTAGATATGATATCATTTTTGCTACCATACTTGAGATATGCAGTAGGCCGGGACTAATCCTAAACTAACTAATATATTTTCCTGAATAAATACGGTAAACTGATATATGTCATTTTTATATTCAATCATGTTTCTGTGACGCAATTATGTGATTCACATATTCCATCATGTCGCGAATCAAATTTTAAAAGAAATTGAGTCTAAAATTGTCTAACCCCTACACCTCTGCAACCGGAGATTCATGTCAGTTATTATGTGAAACATGAAAACGCACAATTGCATGGCCATGGCTTTAAATTTTCAAAAATATATTTTATATAATCAAATTTTCAAAGGAATTGAGTCTTTGCCACAATTCAAATTTTCTAATCCCTACATCTTTGCAACCTGACGGGAGGGGCATGTTAATTTTTATTTGATATCCCCCCCTCAAAGTTAAAAACGCGCCCATGACATAGCTTTAAATTTTAAAGATTAAGTAGTGTCCTAATTTTAATGCATACATTTTAATTGATTGTATATAACTAGCTTGGAAATCCGGGGTTGCCTGCACACTAAATTTTACCTTTAAAAGTCAACCTGCTCAACTTTGAATCTTTGATCCAAACTGAAAACATTCCCGTGGGTTCACCGAGTTCCCCAATGAAACTTTGAGGCAAATCGGTCAAATGGTTTATGAGTTATTATATTTTAAAAGGTAAAATTTAAACAAATGGATTGAGTCGAGAATATGATCCTGTGTGTGTGTGTGTAAACAAAACCTTACAAACATAATTTCAAATATTAAAAATCAACAGAGACATATAATTTACATTAAAAGACTGACAGATATTGGACACTTCGCGACCCACAGGCTGCTTTTCTCCTTTCACAGGGTGGGCTACGTAGGCCTAAGTTGACCCGGCACGACATGCTTACGGGTATACGATAGGTTTTTAGAGTGCCATCTCACAGCCACATGTTGAACATAATACCCATTCAGGGGTTAACTTTTACAATTTTTAATTTTAAACATGAAACATAACATTTATGAATTCAGTCTTTTTTTTGAAGATTTTGTGTTTCGTATCCAAAGAATCCTTATATATCCCAGAATACAGATGTTTGCTGATTGGTCGTGTAGAGAACTTGCACACAATAGAACATGCTGTGGAAAATATCGCTTATTTTAGCTGACAACTCTCTTATATCTGTAGCGACCCTTTTCCAATAAACATTTTAGCTTTTAAATGTTACAGTTTAACTTTAAACCGTCATTTTTTCTGCGTTTATCGGAAAACTAAAACTTGCGACATTTTCGAATTTAAACTGGCATAAAACATCCCTTGGAATGTGATATATTGCAGAAAAATGTGGACCCAATTCACCCAATCGGTTCAGACGTTTTCACGTTTACAGGATAAAAAGTACAAGACAAATATTTATCATAGAGATCGTTTAATGAGAATTCCAAAACGAACTTTTTATATGACCTAAAACACAAAGATCAGAAGGTGGGGGGGGGGGGGGGNTGGACAGTTTTATAACAACTATAGGGCTGGCACACTTTTTTTAGCATTGAGAAAGTGAATGATAGCAGAACCCAGAAAAAAAACACAAAGATAGTTCAAAAGTAACAATAAAAACAATGAGTTCGGGAACCTAACTTTTTAAGAGTCAACCTATTCAACTAAGAACTTTTAAACCAAGCTAAGAACATTTCCGGGATTATATTTAGTTTCCCAATCAAAATTTGAAGCAAATCGGTAAATTGGTTCCTGAGTTATGATCGGACAAACAAACAAACAAACAGAGACTACTACTTTATTTATTTAGATATAATATACATGTTTCCCAACCCAACCTGAATATCATCTCCAATGATTATACATCACCTAAAAAATACTAATATATTTTTAGATTGATCAGAATAGAGTTTGTTTTTAGTAAAATTCTATTTCTAACAATTCTTGCAATGAATAAATGATTTAAACTGTTTAATCAAAAATACCAGCTATGAAGTATGAATTAGAAACCTTAAATGTCTTAAATTAAAACCTTAAATGTCTTAAATTAAAACCTTAAATGTCTTAAATTAAAACCCTAAATGTCTTAAAACTGGTTCAAAACTATGCTCATCAATACTCAGAACATTGTGTTCTTAATGTCGAATATAACAGGAATCTTTTAGAAATTTCGAATATTTTGATAGAATTTGAGAACAGAATTTTAGGGTTTTAGGGTCTATATATACGTTTTGCTTGTCTGTTTGTTTGTCTGTCTGTTTGCATCCAATAAACGTGTAAACGGCTAAACTAATCGAGCCAAAATTTTGTGTCTGACTTCAGACTGTCCCCTGGTAAGGTTTATAGATCAAAATTTCAAAATATTTTCCACCAACAAAATTTATTTTCCTTAAATTTTGAAAATCCACGGAATTTATTTGATAAGATCCCCAAAATTTTTGTCTTGCTTTTGTTTTATAATGTATTCAAATACACTGTATTCAAATAAACCTTATAAATACATGGTTGACCACAAAGAATGAGACTGAAACTTGAAACTCTTAAATCAATTCTTGTGCCTGACATATAATCTATTTGATGATTGACAAAGAAAAAAACTAGTTTACGTATACAGCCGCAAGAAATCCTGAATGTAAGAAAAAAGACATTGTTAATTTCGCACAGTCGTCTCTGAAGTCTCATCCTTTGTGGGTAACTCTGACGTACATAATGTTATCATATTCTGAAAAAAATGTGCGTTATTTCGAAATCATTTAAGACATATTATGGTTCTTTTTTCACAACGCAATTTTAAGTATAGTTCATAATTTTAGCCAATAAGAGAATATTAATCTGAAGCAAAAACAGAATAGTTCTCTCTGATTGGCGGACATATGAGAACATTAATTCAGGAGTATCCTCCCCCCCCCCCTTCTACGAAAGTTGTCATCCCAATATGTAGACGTTTTTCTTAGAATTATAATAATCCTCTGACAGTTAAAAATACTGGCAAATTTTCATTTTCTTACTGATCTCGTATGATTCATATCGAACTGAAGTTAAAAATTGAAAGATTTCAAGAAAAGGATTAAAATAATTAGCAATTAAATCAAACATAATCTTTAATTGATGAAAATAATATTGATATATATGGGGTATCCAAAGATGTATCTTCTCGAACCCCGCTGAATACTGTTATTATTTTTATTTTTTCATATTTTACAATTTGTATGATTTATTACAAAACAAATTTTTTTTCGGGGGGGGGGGGGTTCCAAATTTCCAATACGATAATTAGTTTTTTGTCTCTGGTCGATATATT